TTTCCTATATCATAAACAATTCAATGTCTGAGGCAGTCAACCTGCCCCAAATTATGTATTTCCAACAAATATACAGGCAGGTGGTACAGCCTCAATTGTTCAGATGCCCAAGGACACAAATTATCAAGTAATGTAGTAACCTTCACATGCATGTCTAAATAATTCCCAGCGAACAATGCTGGCAACACAAGCAGGTCATTCCGGTTGTGATACCAACCCCCCCTTGTCTCCCTACTTTGTGCATCTGGAGAAGCAAGGAGGGGGATGCTGGCTATCTCATATTCACTAACCCATTCCTTTCTCCTATCTGAAAATCCCCTATGTTCCTTTTCTCTGTACAGGCGGCACCGCCAACAGAGCTGGCAGCTTCCAACAGAGTCTTGACTTCCTTTAAATGGTCTCTTTCCTCTCCTTCTACTGTCCTGAAGTCCCTATTTCACCAAAGTTCCCCAAAAAACAGACAAAACCCTAAAAGCATAATGGGAATCTGAAAACATTTTATTTACCCAGCCCGGGGCCAATGTGAGGGCAAGGGTAAGGGAAGGGCTTGTGCCTCAACCGTATCAGAATTGACTTCAAGGCAAGGGCAGAAGGGAGGCAGAGTTCAAACACAGACTCTAAAGGAGTCATGGCTCCAGGCTAACCAGACAAAGCCAGAGCCCCCCCTTTTCCCATGGGACACATGGACTGTTACCGGCACTCCCAAAGAAAAATAGCATGCCTCCTTTGTGAGGACAGCACCTGCCACGGCTTGTAAAGATGGGGGCCGGTCATGGTGTCCAACAACTTTTGAGAGGTAAGCTACAGACTTTCACCAGTTGCCAATCCTCTGTGTGTGTGGACCCCCAGTGCCATGCTGTCTCACTCAGGCAGGGAGTCTTTTCCTTCCCACTCTGTTCCCTAGCCCTTTAAGTGCCTCATAGAGGATGCCAAAACAGAGAAATTTGAAATCCAGATATTTTTCTTTCCAGAATCCTGCCATGCCTAGGAACGTACACCAGCCCTGTTTAGTATCTGGGAGGGGAACCAGGGAAATAGTCAAAAAAATTCCAAATAACTCACCTCTGTCCTTGCAACTTGCTCTTTGTCCTTCGTCCCAAAAAGTTGAGGTCAATAGAGGCTCTCAAACAAGTACCAACAGCCCACATACTGCATCTTTCAAATCCCCGCATGTTTCTGTGGGATTCCAGTCAGCAATTTCTCCTAGTGCTTTTTTTCTTTTCGTTCCTTCTTTGTTTTCTTTCTTTTTTCCTGATTACTGGAGGCGAAGCCAAGAAACCTGGCCACCTCCAGCTTCTACTCTTTTGTGTGGAACTAAATTCACCCTCACCTCCCCCCCTTCTGATGCTGCTACTGGGGAGGAGGAGGGAGAAGTCCCGATGTTTCTCCTGTTGTTGAATGAGGCTTGTTTTGTCTTTCTCTGTTTCCTCGAGCCCCCCAAGGACCTGCCACTAAAACTTTATACTCGCAGGTTGGTGGTGGTGGGGGCTACATAATCCATAAAACCATACAGGATGTTGTTGATCTCAGAGGGACTAACTTTAAGGTTCCCTTGTATTTTTCTTTCTCTCGGGATGGGCTGCTATGAAGCAAAACAGCCTACATATCTCAGATGACCAGTCTCTGAGTGCAGATTTGGAAAAAAATTATCTTTCGGCAATGCAGGAATTGGCTAAAGGCCATATTCTCATGCATAATTTTAATGATGCACCTCTTTTTTTTTTAGCCCAGACCTCCTGCCCACTAGGCTTTTCCAATTATCTTTCACACGACTTTGCGGCATCCCAATATCATCGTGCCCTACTGCAGGCGCCCCTCCCAGCGGTGGCTCAGTAGGTTTTAACCCTTTGCTTGGCCAAGCCTATTTTTCCTTTTCCTTTCCTGAAAACCCGGGAGCAATCTCACTTCTTTCACTCCCTCTTTTCAAACACTCTGCTCATTCGCGCGCATCCAATCAAGCCCCGTCTTTCCGTGCACTTGCTTTCACTCCAAGAACGTAGGTGCCGAAACCTAGTTCAGGGATGGGCCGTCTTCACGGAAGAGAGTAGCTGTCACAATCACACTTTTCCCAGGTCCTTAGGAGTTCCATGAAACGCATTCCATGAAACTCTCTGGGAATCCGCAGACTCCCCTTCGGAAAACTTCAATGGAGCTTCCGGAAGTTTAACGAAGAACGGCTAGAAACGCCCTTCTGGCATTCACCGTGGAAAACGGCTAGTGGGCCCCATCAGAAGTCTGGGTATTCAATAATCTGTTTTCCCCCATTGTGGACTTTTAAGTCACCGGAGATTGCCCGCATTCTCCATCCAATTTTAGGTTTCAATTCTCCGGCAGGGAAACAGATAAAGATAGTGCATCAGTCAGACTATATGTGAGTCAATTGTTATTTTTATTAAACATATAGCTGGACTCCCATTTTAAAGGCAGATCGGGGGTCCCATCATGCATGTGGTACAGCATTTTATGCAAAGGACAATAAAACACAGGAGCCCCTTATTGGCTTCCTGAACCCCATGTTTGCCCCCTGGGCCATTCCACTGGCCGTGGTAGACGTGAGAAAAAAATATCAAATTGCATCCCAGGGTTAGTGGCTGCCAAGTTTGTGAATGTGTGAACCATTGTGCAATATATCTCTAAATATGTTAATGACGGATTGTTCTTTTGGGGTGTTAGTGCATGGCGTTAGGAAGTTACAGCCTTGCCTGGAGCGCTGTGAATTTGTTATTCTTAGTTGGCCTTGGTTCACACAAAGCTGTGTCAGTTTAACAGCGTGTGATAATGTAAGAATGTTCCTGTGAGCGTCAAGCAGGAGGGGAGGGTCAGGAGTACTATTCACATAAAGTACAGATACAAAAATGTATATAGAATATAGTAAGGAAATAGTGAAGTCATATTTCAATTACAGGTACAGGGTATGATTACTAGTGTAAGTACATGTGAATCAAATAGCATGTGTTATCTTAAATTGTAAAGCCACAACTTCATATATGTTATATCAGAACCCCCTATCTATCAGGGAAGCTTCCCCGTTGTCCAGCACAGGCCATCCCCCTGATTCCTCGGCCTCCTTTTCTACCAACCAGGAGAGCCTCTCTCCCTCTTGCCCGGCTTCAGGGTCAGCCTCGTCCGGTCTGTTCCTGACACCCAGCACACGGGTCTAGAACCACAACGGCCTTTTCCTGGAAAGGAGAGGGAAAGGAGAGGCCGAGTGGGGGATCACCGTCGACCCCAAAACTCTGGACAAACTCAGCCAGCTGAGAGGGGTTCTGGAAACCGTTTTACCTTCTTGTTTTGCCTCTGTTTGAGCCTTTTTAGGATTTGTTGACTCATTTGCATGCTTTCGAACCGCTAGGTTGGCGGGAGCTGGGACAAGCAACGGGCGTTTGCTCCGTCATGTGGATTCGAACTTACAGCTGAAGATCTACAGACCTTATAACACAGAGGCTTCTGCGGTTTAACCCGCAGCGCCACCACGTCCGTCAAATTAAGCGTATGTAAAATGACAATTTTAATCATTTCATACTGAGCTGCTTCTTTAGAAGTCAAGGTATCCCCTCCCTCTTGCAAGATCCCCATGAGACAGGGTGTTAGAGTAAGAGTCCAATATTCCTTCGGCCAACCTGCCATGGTGGCTACCCTCTCGAACGTGTGCAGGTACACCACCAGGTCATCTTTGGGTCCTACTTTTGAATGCAGATAGGAACCAGTCCCACCACGCATGTATTTTTTATGAGACCGGTTTGTTTAAGTCCTCTTTCCTCTTCATCTCCCCTTCCTTTTTCAAAACTTCTCCCAACAGGCTGGGAACTGCCCCAGGCTGGGTGCCATTGTGATTAGGTTCTGATAAAACACTAAGCAGTTCCCCTTCTCTGACCGCATTAATCACAGGAGACATATCTTTACCAACAAAACCTTTACTTTCTGTAACAGGAGAGGAATCAGCAACTTCTGTGTGTCCAACAGGAGCAGTCATCAACATAGGTCAGTTCATAACGAGGAGAGTGCACTAATATCTTCATTGTCTTTCACTACTTGTCCATGGGTCTTCTCAATGGATTGCTCCTCACCATGCATATAGTTTCACAACATGAGTTGTGAGCCCAATCTCCCTTGTGTTGAGTTTGGGTCACTGGTACTGGTTCGGGGTGGACCACCCTCCTTGAAGGACCTTTCGCTCATGGAAACACATATACAGTCCATTCCAGGGGCTCAAGCTCTCCTAACTGTAGTTCCAAGCCTGCAACCCGTCGTCCTCGCATGTCCTCCAACTCTTACTCTTCCTCCTTCTTCTCTCTCTGATACAGTGGTGCCTCGCTTGACAATGTTAATTTGTTCCAGCGAAATTGCTGTAGAGCGAAAACATTGTCAAACGAAATAAAAAAACCCATTGAAACGCACTGAAAACCATTCAGTGCGTTCCAATGGGCTGAATACCTGCTCGTCCAGCGAAGATCCCCCATATGGCGGCCATTTTCGGTGCCTGTAAAGCGAGGGATCCATCCTAGAAAACAGCAGGGGGCCATTTTCTTCAACCGGTGGCCATTTTGAAACCCGACAATCAGCTGTTTGCTGATTGTTGTAAAGCGAAAATCAGTTCCTGAAGCAGGGAACCGATCATCGTTAAATGAAAAAACCCCATTTAAACCATCGTTTTGTGATCACAAAAACCTGATCGTACAGCAATTTCCTTGTTAAGTGAGGCAATCATTAAGCAAGGCACCACTGTACTCTAAAGACATAAGGTTCCTCCTCACCTCCTCTCTGTACACTCCCTTACTCCTTTTTCTCCCTCTCTGGATTGACCGACTCATTTGAACGCCAGCTCTTCTTTTCCTCCTCTCCCTCCTCCTCTGTCATCAGGTACCGTTATATCCTATCCTCCCTCTTTCCTGCCTTTTTTCCTTCTCCCTCTAGAGTTAAATAATTCCTCCAAGAAACACATCGTTAAGTGAATTCTTCGTTAAATGAAGCAATCGCTAAGCGAGGCACCACTGTACTAGGTTTAAGAGCTTCCTCTTAACCGCTTCTTCACATGGCGGGATTTCTGGCTGGCTCCGGCTAAAGCTTCTTCCTGCTTCTGCCTTTAAGCTCCTCGCTTATCAACCAACTGGCTTAACAACCAAGTCACAAGAACGGAACTTGGTCCTCCAGTGAGGAGTGACTGTCATTAAAGGGTCTGAATTACAGTCATGGTTGCCCCAATTCCTGTGCATGAACAAAAAAGAGGTTAAAACAGGTTTCTCTTCTGGGATATGTAGTCCTTTGTTCTCAGGACTTTTCACAGGTGTTTTCGTCTAAGGCCAGCCAGTCAAGGCCGTCCCATCTATGAGTTGCTGACCAAGGTAGAATCCCGTGAGAAGGAGAGGCGGAACTGAAGAAGAAATGACATTCTGGGATTGGAGCTACTAAACAAAGGACTCGAATCTGATTGGCTAAGGAGATGCCTAACAAAATGGAATTTAAGACCTAGCAAAGAGAATGCAGGAGGACATCCCTTTCTTGCTTGTCAGGAGAATGGAGGAGGGAGAGGTTTATGCTTGCTTGTCAGAAAGCACTTAGCTACCCAAAGAAATCATAAAGCCTTACTTGATGTAAACCAAGGCTACCTTTTCGACTAAAGCTCTTTGCACATTCCATGCATTTATATAGAAATATTTATCAGCCTTTCAATTGCATCTGAGCTTTGTCTGCCTGGCACAAAGACCTTGTGATCTGTGTGGATATAATCTGTTGGAAAGCTATTCAACCTTCGGGCCAAAATGGAGGAGACCTTTTAAATCCTGATGACAACCCAGGTGCGAAACCTGGGGGTCCTCTTGGAATAGTCTCGAAGTTCAGATGTCCAGGATATTGCAGTGGCCTGGAGTGCCTTAAAACAGGTGCCTCCTCCTTGCGGGGTCCGGTCTGGCCACGCTGACACATGCTTTTGTCACATCCCAGCAGGATGATTCTAATGCCCTCTTTGTTACAGCAGAGCATCCGGATTCAAATGCCAGTTCTGGTGTTGCGCTCTATGTGGGAACAGCCTCTGGAAAGTGTCCGGGAACTTTAGCGGATCCAGAAAGCAACAAACAAAACAAACACAGACACCCTGTTACGGCTCCAGAGCCTGCTCAGCCATTTCCGGGCAGAATTCAAAATGATGTACCTTCCTGCTTTAAATGTGTTTTGGTGTTGCTTGTAATTTTTTTTACCCTTCTATTCCTTTTATCCTTTTTTGTATTTGTATACTCACAGCTTTTAGCTTTAAATACAAAAGAAGTTCATTGCAAAAGGTTTAGCTGGTGCGTGTTGTCAAAAGTGAATGCAGCTAGAAGTAGAGGATATGGGTC